GATAATAAGATTCAGCAGACACATTGTCTTCTGGCAAATACTCTTTAAACAAGTCTGCCCATGCATCCATACAATTTTCAGGTAGATTGTGATCGGTTTTAATACTCATCATTCTAGCAGCCAACGACAATTTAGACAGACCTTCTCTACAACCACTGTAAATTGGCTCATTCGCAGCATCTAACATTTCATAAAAAAATTTGGCATCTAAGTTAGGTTCTTCAACTTCATCATCATCATGAGTTACAAAGGCATCACCTACCATATCATGAACCCTATCACAATCTACCATCTGTTCCTCTTGGTGATGATAGCTATTACTACTGCTACCTTCATTACGCAAATGCTCAACCGGTTCAATCTGAAAATTGCTATTACTACTGCTACCTTCATTCCTACAACTAGCATCTTCTCCATGTTGATACCAAATATAATAATATGGCATGAAACCTCTATTTACTAAATGCTTCCAAACATTTTCATGAGGGCCTAATTTGGTATTGCAACATTTTCGACAAGGACAGAACATCTTACCACTTTCCTGTGTGAGTGGTGTAAAATCTGCTTGATGCATAAACGTCTCCAACCCTTCGAGAAATTCTTTCGTCACCCTCCCGTTATTATCTCTGTGTGAATACATCCACTTCTGCAACTCGAAAAAATTTCCCAGACCGGACATTTTTTTTTGTGTTTGATCAAGCTTATAGCTGATTTTTTTTTGGTGTGTTTCAAATGAATCACATATGGTGGTATTTATAGAAATTTTTGAATCTGAGAATTTACTAGGAACTTTCTAGGAAAAGTAGGTACAAAACACGTTTTTGATTTAAATTCTATATTTTCTATCCATTTCCTCTTAATTTCGTAGTAACAAATCTTTTCCTTCTAATTTCGTAGTAAACAATTACTAGGAATTTACGAGGAAAATAATTACTATGAGTTTACGAGGAAAATAAATTTTTCCTCGTAAGGGCCTCGTAATTTTACTACGAGTTTACGAGGAAACTGTTTTCTCGTAAGTTTACGAGAATTTACGAGGAAAAGTGGTTTCCTCGTAAACTCGAAGTAAACTCGTAGTATTTTTACGAAGAATTATTTTCCTACTAAAGTTTCCTAGTAAAGTTTTAGTTTTCTTGTAGTGGTATATCTTGATTATATTTAAAATTTTAAATATTTAAATTTTATAATTATCATTCTAATATATGGTTTGACAAATTTTATTCACACTATTACTTATATAAAATATTACATAAAAAGAAGAGAAAACATTTATGACAATTATAATTTTTTTTCTTAAGTTTTGTGCCATTATAATTATTAACTAAGTTTAAAAAATTTACAAGATATGTAGATTTGCTACTTCTTTTAATTTTTATCTTTTATATCATAAAAAATATTTTACAAAGCAAATTTGTATCAAAATTTTAAGATTATTTGTCTTAATCCAAACATATGAGATATCCGTAAGTATTCGTAAATATCCGCAAATATCTATTTATTTTCCGGATATCCGTTTTTCTGAATATCCGTATTTTACCGAAGCAAACCAATCGAAAAATTAAATATCCGTGATATACGAAGCAAATCACAAATACCTTCAAAAACACGGATATTCGATCCGAGCCCAGGCCTACTCCCATGTATATTGTTATACATTTACAACAATTGTATTATTACATCTCATCTTGTACTTTCAAACTTTTTTGTTGTTGTCATAATCTCACACTTAAAACTATTAGACTGAAAATATTGTACAATTAAAAGGTTTTTTTCTTCTTCTTCCCTAAATGAGAAATTAATAATTCCTTTAACTGGAGATTTTTGTCGAGTGGTAAGAAGATAAAGTTGAGACACTAAAACATTTTAGTTTGGACCATCTATTACGCGAAACTAAGTCACAATTATTTCTGATCACGTAACACGAATATGGATCTATACTTAAGACCCATTTGAATGTCCGGAGAGAGAGTCTATCCATAGACTGCACATATTTTTAAGGAGAGGCATTTCATTAATGTTTTGATTATGAATTTTGAAAGATTATTGACTCCAATCTAAAATTTCTTGTTAGTTTAAATGGTCTTCTTAACTATTTAAAATTGTACTGTACATAAATATTGGATTGTAGTATTTTTATATGATATTAACTTTGTTAATATTTGATGCTAAAAATGCTATTGTTTAATTTTCCAACAACTAAATTTGTTTTTTTTTTATATATACACAGGCAACCATTATAAAACAATAATCTATTTTAAATAGTACAATGATGCATAAATGATAATAGAATTTTATCTGGATTTTAAGTTCTACTTTCTTAAATAAATTTATGAAGTTTCACATAATAATTGATTCCAACAAATTTGTGAATTTATGGACACCAAAAATATGTTTCATAAAATCATATTTATGGATAACTTGGAGGTTCTCAAAGGGTTTGTGGTTAGTGATGGCCTACTGATGTGGAGACGTTATGTTTGCTGGCTGAGCCGAAGCACTTGAAGAAGCTGAGAAAGCTAAGCATTACAATAAACAAAGGTGGTGAAATCACTGTTTCTCAATTGTTAGTGGATATTCAAGATTTCTCCAAGCTGGAGAAGTTGAAAGTGGCATGGGGAAGTATTAATGAACACAACAAAGCTGACTCTACTGCTCGACCAGTAAAAGAATTCCGCATGTCGATGACGTGGCCTCCTAATAGCTCAGTTTTACAGCCAAAACCTCACAAGGTTCGAAAGAAAGTTGCAGTTCCAAGCCACCTTCCAGAGAAGTTGATGAAATTTGATCTGCAATGTTTTCCTGATTGCTTGAGCCTAGTAATCTACGTACATTGGAGAAACTCTACATAGGAGGAACCAAACTTACTGGATTTGGAAAGTCAGTGCTTGAGGAGCCAACGGAGTGCAGTGTCAAGGTTTTGCGTCTGAAGTTCCTTCCCAGGCTAAAAGTGGATTGGAGGGAGCTGAGGGAACTTCACTTTCCAAAATTGGGGTTCTTGGATAAGTATCAATGCCCTCGAGCTAGTTTCTGCCCCTGTGATGGTGTCGGAATCTGGCGTGACAAGCCTAAGCCACTCTGAGCTGAGAGTTACTCGGTCTTCCCCATGTTTTCTTCCACTATTGTTTTCCCTTTGTTGCTGTTTATGTTGTTATGTGCTTGGTTCCTTATTTTCCATTGATGTGTTGTTATTTGCTTTCAAGTGTTGTTGTTTGTTACATGTTGAATAAAGGATTTTGTTGTGTTGCTTTGCTTATCTTGTGATGCTTTTGTTCTAAAGAAGCTAGAAAAGAAGAAAATATGTAATATGATAAACTGAGAAGGTCTACTATATACAAGTGCCGAGAGACTTAAGAGTAATAACCTCTGATAAACTTCAAATCAAAAAGAAGGTAGAGACGAAGGAACATAGTTGGCAATGACGAAGCTCTACTTAGAATTATGGATTATTGATACAACAGAGAGACATACAGACAACATCAAACCAGAGAAACAGAAACATAAATAAAGAAAACAAAGCCAAGGTTGATAACACAGTGACAAAATGGATCTTCAATCTTCTCAAGCTGTTGGAGTTTGAGTAGTTCCATTTTCTTCTGCATTGGTGTTGTTGTCTGAACCCTTCTGCTCAGTGTTTTCATCGTCAAGAAACACGGGAAGAAGCGTGGCCAACATTCTAACAGCTAAAGGAAGACCACGAGACTTGTTCATCAGCTCATCTATGCACTTCTTGTCGTTCCTAGGAGGATCCTCTTCCCCGTTCTCTTTCCGTGCTGCATCATATATCCTCCAGACACTCAGAGAATCAGTCAGAGGCCAAAGACGATGTATCTCATGTTCCTCTGCAACCAGCTTCTTCGCCAGAGTCTTGTTCTCATCCCTGGTCGTGTATATGACTCTTCCACCAGACCCTTTAGGGAATCCATCTGAAAGATACTTTCCCCATTTGTCATCCTCTTTGAGCTTCTCCTCGTCGTCTTGAAGCTTCTCGTTCCAGTTGTCTTCTTCTCGCACATCATCAAACACAATCAGATACTTCTTCCACCTCAGATTCAAGTGAAGTGCATACATCAAAGCAGAGACTTCCTTCTCTTCAGCCGTTTCTCTATCAATTTCTCCACCTTCTCGATTGTCTGCCTTTTCCAGATTATTTGCAGCTTCGTCTTTTGCCTTGTCATGGATACGTTTAAGCAGCTCATCTTCAACTCCAAGAACCTTCAAGATCTTCTTCAACACAAATATCTTCCCACTAAGGCCTTCATTGCTATGCATAGATACCCAGATTCTTGGAGCGTAAACACTCTTCACACCTTCATCATTAAAAATGGTTTTGCATAAAGCTGTCTTCCCCACGCCGTATTCTCCGACAACCACAAGACTCTTGAACTCATTATAGACCTTCTGATCCAGCAAGAAGTTCTTCAAGGACTTGATCTCGTTGTCAAACCCGTAGATCACATGGTCTGGAACTTCAGAATTGGTTTCCACACGATCTTTTTCATCTGCCTTCTCCTCTCTCTTGTTCAAAGTTCCTGCAGAGAGATAGTTTCTTTTGGGAACTTGTTCATGGTTTATGTTGGGACTATTGAGCCACTCTTCATATTTTTTTGAGAAGCGGGCTATAAAGAGTTCTCCTTGCTTTGGAATTTCTTGAACCATATTCACGAGAGGATAGCGTAATAACAAATAAATCAAAAGAAAATCTGCAGGAAAGAGGATGAACAAGTAAAGAAAAGAAAGAAACAGAGGGGAGAGAGAGAGAGGTGTGAGAATAACTTTTTTTTTAACAAAGGTGTGTGAATTAGTTAAGAAACAATTTTAAGATTAGGGGTTAGTAAGAACCGAATTTTTAATGATTGTTAGAATTAAAACTGTTAAATCGTATGGTTATTGGTTTATGGATTAAATTTTGATCTTCTAAAATCCAAGTATATTTTTACTTTTACAAAATTTTATATTAGAAACTAGGACCAATCCGGGCTACGCCCAAATTTTTTATTTATATTATAATTTTAATTATATATTTGTATGTTTATTTAAGTATAATCTATTATAGAAACATAAGTAGTTATAATTATCAAATTATTTTTAATTTTTCATTGTTTTGTCTTACGAATTTCAAATTCAGCATCCAATTTTTTTTGTTATTAGAAAATATATATAAGGTGATGAATAAAATGAATAAATATTAATTAAATTTTAGTTATGGTGTTTGATTGGTTGGACTATAGATATGTTCATTTCATTTACAACTTTTTATTTTTATATCTTCTGTTTCCAATTAGTATCTAAATAATTTAATGGATCCTTCCACTTTAGATCTATAACTTCTTATATCTTCTGTTTCCAATTAGTATCTAAATAATTTAATGGATCCTTCCACTTTAGATCTATAACCTAACTTAAGGCTTCGATTAGAGTTGAGACTGTGAGAACTTTAAGATATTTAATAGTTTTGAAAGCCATTTTTAATCCAATTATGCCTTGAAGGTTTTCAATTTTTCTAAAATCTCAAAAGTCACTTTCAGTTATTTTTTTTTCAGTTTTCTTCTTCAAAAATGGTATTTGGCAATACCCTCATTTCCATGCTTTTGCTCTTTTCCCACGTAATGATCCGTTACTTTTTATTTTTGAAAATGATTATTATTCTTTTTCTTCTCCCAAACTATTTCAAACTTATTTTTCTTATAGTAAAATATTTTTATTAAATAAAATATTGACTAATTAATGTATAATTATTTTTTTTCTTTTGAAATTCATTTTATAATGCTTTATAGTTATATATATCAATAATGAACAGTCTATCTTTTTAATAATTATATTTTAAATAGTGATTATATATTTTCTTTATTTATAAGAATTTTTTATTTTTGATATAATTTTAGCATATACGTGTTTTTAATAGTATTTAATTTTGTACAAAATTCTTACAGTCTTTAAAGTCACAGTTTTTAAAGTTATTTTTTACAGTCAAAATTCTAAAGTGAAAATCTAAAACGAAAGTCCGTAATAATCGGAATTTTGATATTTAAAAAATAAATTCAACAGTTTAAATGTTATATTATTTTCTAAGTAAAAAAACTTACAATTACATCACCAAAAATTACAAACTCTCATCTTTCAACAAATTTTCTGTATTTATAAGTTTATAACCAAACTAATTGGACCCATGATCTAAATATTTTTTTCTCACTCATATAATTTTTTTGATTAAATATTGTTAAATAGAAAACCAATTAAATTTTTACTCAGTTTTTGAACCAATGATTTCATAACTTTACGGATGTTTGAAAATATGCCATTTCAAAACTTTTTGTTCCACTTTTTCATACACCATTTTTCTTTATAATGACCATTATTACCAAAGTATAAAAAAATTCGCATTGTAGTTTTTAAATATATTATAGTTTTGATATCACATAATAATGCACATATATGTAAAACTAAGGTTTTCCCTTCTTAAATAAAATAATATAAACAACCAAAGTAAACTATTAAAATATGTATTGATCGTGTTTTAACTTTAATTCAGTGTTTTTACTTTCATTTCCACATCTCACTTTCGAACCAAATATGGCATGCTTTATTGTTAATCCCCATATTAAAACCACTTCCTCTACTTTATATAATATTTATCATTAAAATTATTTTTAATAATAAAATTACATTTTGTTGATTAATTTTAAAATTTATTGTTGACTTATTAGGAGTTGCTTAACTTATATAATAATAACAGCTATAGTAATGACTTTTAGATTGGTTTAATTATTTATAGTTTAATTACTTTTTATTATCAACCAAATAAGATTTACAGAAACTATACAAAAAAAACAAATTCTAAAACATGTACATTCACCGAAAGAAAGGAGTACATTTTATTGTGAAAATATATAATTAAATTCTTAATTATCTATAGTTTGTGGATAACAACCTTATAATATATATAGATTGTGTTACTCCTCATTTTCTAGTGGCACCCGTAAGGAACTTTAGACCATGAGGGAAGTCTAATCTAGCGTTGGAAACGTGTAAGATCAAAGAAGAGCTTCTGAAAGTTTCCATATTGAGCTGTGAGTGATGCACGTTCTAAGGCATCAGCCATGAATCCGGAGTTTACAGATGGTAAATGAAGAGAGAACCCTCCAGCACCTTCAGAGTCCTTCTCAAGTTTTGTTCTTATTTGAATTTTCACCAAACGCTGCAGTTATCATACTATCTGTGGAACCAATGAAGTCAGCAACAACATCCCAATGACCAATGCTTCTGAAATGGGTCTAAGAAACTTATCATACCGATGATTCCAGATACTGAGACATGAGGAAAACTGAGAAAGATGTCATAAGGCTTGCAGGTTTCTAGCTTTGGAGTGATACCCCTCCAGAGATCCATGTTAGTCCTGTAAGAAACCGGAAATTTTAGAGACAAACCAGAAAGCAGAGAAGCTGGAGGCACATCCACATCAGCATCAGCATTAAACTTCTTCGGCGTTCCACTGTTATGATGCAAACATAAACGGTAACTTAGACCAGACTCAGCAGGAAGAGAAGCTAAATCAATAGCTTCTCTAGGCACATCCCAATATTCACCATCTTTATCCACATATAGCCAAACCGGTGCTGCTGTCAAATTATGAAGTGGAAACTGAAAAAGAATATCAGCACTAAGTAAACATAATCACATTTTGATATGGGTCAACTTCGTGATTGAAAACAACTTTAGCTCTTGAATTCTTCTTAGGATCACATTTGTAAGTATCAGGTAAGAAGTAAGTATCCTCTGGTGTTAACAACAACTCAGAGCAGAAACCTAACGCGTATAAAGACTTATCCTTTAAATGTTTGCCAAGTGTGTTTAACCGAGAAGCTAGCCCACGAACAAAAGCTTCACTCTTTTTCATCTCAGACATGAATCTTTGAACATCGAACTGACCCAGAAGAGACACAAACCTAGGAACATTACAAAACCAACATTATGGAGTGTATCAGGACAATAAAGGTGAGACTTTTGAGTTTGGTGAAGTGTATCAGTTGTTGGGGAAAGGAGAAGTGAGGACTTTTTGGAGAGAGAAGCCACCATGGAGAGAAAAGAAGGAAGGGATGAGAGGTGTGGCCATGAAGCAGTGGAAGAACTCTGCTTGCTTCGGGCGAGAGAGACGTGTTCCGGGAGAGACCTAGAGGAAGAGGGTCGTAGAAAATGGCTCGTGCCATGGCTTCTAGTGTCACCGGAGTAGACATGTCTCTCTCTTCGATCCATCTCAGTCTGTTCATCGCTGTCGTTTTCTGCCGCCGCTCGGTTTATAGCTTACCTCAGATGACTGAACTTGAGTGGATAAAAATATGTGGAGGGGAGGACTTACATGCATTTATGAGGACTTACATGCATTTATCAGCAGAAGAACATTGATGTTCACCCAGAATCGATCCAATAATGCCGACGGTTTCAGATTTTAGGGGAAGAAGACACCAAGCTTCACCCGTGAATAATCTGAGCTTTAGTAGGGAGAGGAACCAAAAATATGGGCCAAAACAATACAAAAATCACAAAATAATAAGGAAAAACCCAAACATTTGATGCCCAATAATGATTTGCTGACATAGGCTTTCTGAGCTGGCGTCTACATGACACTATTGAGGAGGAGAGAAACATGAGTTTATATAATAGATTATAATTGCATTCATAATTTATGTATCTTTAATTTTTGATTTTAATTAAATATGTGTACATTATTTTTTATTTTTCTTTTTAATTTTAATTTTAAATTTCAAGAAATAATCTATAATCAATATTCTGTATAGTTTTTTTTAATTCAAATACGTATAAATAAGATGAAATATTTTTTTGAGAAATGTAATTTTTCGTTTTATTACATGTTTATAAGTTTAAATTTTGGTTTTGAATTTGTGAAATATATAAAAAATAATAATTTCAAATGTTTATATATATATATATATATATATATATATATATATTCATATTTTAGGTCTGTGAAGAGTAAAATTTAAATACAAATTTACAAAAAGAAACTATAGTTATTCTATTTTCTGGTCGACTATATTTTATTGTATTAACTAAAATTTACTATAACACAATATTACAATTCAAAATATTATTTAGATAAAAATAAAATAATATTTTAATTTAATAAAATAATATTTTTAATTTTAATAAAATAACCATTGTAAGTTTAATATGTATTTTGTTGATTTATAGTATCTTCTCTTTACGAACTAAGATATATTCATATAATTTTATTTTAATTTTAATATTCTATTGTAAAATTAAATTATATATTGATCTATAATATTTTTGCTTTAAAAATAATATATGTTCATAGAAAGTTTATTGTTATTTTTATTAGTTTTTCGTAAAATTCAAATTCTATATAAATATAACGACATAATAGTCACTAATTTATTTAGTGTATCTCACATTTTTAATTTATTTTTAAAAAATGAAAAAGTAAATCATAGTAATACATATTTTAGCATGTTTCGAATTAGTAAAATTTTGTTTTTTAATCTTTAATATAAATAAATTAATGGTTTAATGTATTTGTTAAAGTTAATCTCGTATTTGATTAAAATATTACATGATTGCTGAAATAGCTTAAAAACTATAATCATATAAATATCAATTGTAACTTGTTCCACTATAAGATAAAAAAATATAAATCTTATTTTAATATTTTGTTATAATAAGAATATATATTTCTAATTTTATATCTATATTTTAAAAAGATTTATTTTAACAAATTATAACAAACTATCACTGATTCAATATTTATTTTTATAAAAAAATTTATAACATAATTTATATTTAAAATATAAAAAGAATTGTTATGTTGTGTCATGTGTGCATATAGTTTATTTTTATATTATTAATTTACAAACTAATTAATAGATTAAGATATCTAATTATATTTATTATTTAGCTTAATAATGATATAAATTTATATATGTTATTATTAATTTTATATTTTGTATATAAATCATATTAAATTAATATTGATGTATAATAAATATTTAATAATATTTCAATATTATTTATTTATTTACCTAACTATAACATTTTAGTATTTCTAATAAACTATCTATATATATTAGTGTTTTTAAGCTCACATACCACATAATTAGTATTAAGAATCTAAATTTGATATTATTACATGGTAAGTTAATGTTAAGTTCAAGTTATGATTTTGTTTTAATAGTATTCGTTGTTAATTATTTTCATATCTTATCTAATTTTTTGTTTTTGTTTTATTAATTTAGGGTATTTCAGTTTTATAAAAGGACTCAAATTAATTTTATGGAAAAGATGCATCTCCTACATAGATGATAGAACTCTTTCAAAGTATTCAAATGGTTAGTAAGCATTGAACTCATATCTATATTGCTATATAATAAAATGTAGCGAGGTGTATTCGAACTCTTGTTGCTGAAAACTTTAGAACGTGAAATTAAACTATCATCACACAGTTAAAAAGAATTGGTTTTCAGAATATAGATTCTTTAGTACAATAATTTATTTTTATGAGAATGACAATCTCAATTAATTAAACTTACTGATCATAATTTCAGAATACTAACTAGAACAATTTAATCTTGATATACTTTCTGAAATACACTAAATTTACTCCAAATTTAGTAAAACGTCATATAAATCTAACAAAATTTATGTAAATTTAATAAATGTCTCAAGTTGATCAAAATTCACCTCTCACGTATTCTTCTAGGATCAATGTTTGTGTTTG